ATTGTACAGCGGCATTAAGTGCCATAATGTGCACCTCTGCCTACCCCTTCGGGGATAAAAGGCGTGATGTTATGTATTTTCTCAAAACAGTTTCTGTTCTTTTTTTATTTTTGAGAACTATGACATTTTTGAGTAAAATAGTGGGTGTACAGTTTTCCATTTATACTTACTTATTGTTTCATCTTTGTAGGTTTTTCGAATGCCCACTACGGGCACCCAAAAAATGTAATCAAGCCTTCAAAAGGCAAATGTATGTCTGACGGTTGGGAGACGGCGAGGAGATTGGACAGACCTAATATTATTGAGGCTAATGATGATGGGACCATGAAGACTACAGGTAAAAAGCACAATCTTTCAACAAATAGCACAAAAAATGTAACCTTTTTAAATTTTTTTTCAAAAGGATACATTTGAATAAAATAAAATATATTTTTTATTAAAAAGGTTACAATTATTTAACTCATTTGAGGCATTCAATTATGCTGTCAACCAAGACAAGCAAATTGAAATGAATTTAATTTAAGACAAATAGTTAAGATATAGTAAAAATCTTGAAACAATATTGTAAAGATTTTTCGTTTTTTTGAGGTTTGACACATTTTTGTCGGGATTCATTACATTTGAGTTTGTACATATATTATCCACAAGTTAAAACACTTTTATGCCCGAATATTGAAAGGCTACTCAATTGTAAGTAGCGCTTAAGTATAGTTCTATCCCTACAAATTCTTTGTAAAATGATAGAGATGGCACGATATTTAAGTACAACTTAGAATTGAGCCTTACCTGCCTTGTCAATGGCTTTAGTATTCGGGCGATAGCTTTATACATCTTTGTGGAATTTGAAATAAAATTTAAGTCTTATTAATTGTTATAATATCTACTAGCGACCCGCCCGCCTTCGCATGGATGCAATATGCATGTATTATACATATAAACCTTCCTTAAGAATCAGTCTATCTATTAAAAAACCGCATCAAAATCCGTTGCGTTGTTTTAAAGATCTAAGCATACATACGGATAGACAGACGGCCGATAGCGACTTTATTTTATACTATGTTGTCATACAATATTAGATATTAAGTTATCAATTTAGATATTATTCAGGTTCAATTAGATAAATATTTTACACACTAATTGAACACCAGCAGCAAATGACGATACTAATTCAATTTCAGCATTTTGGCACACATTCAATATGTATTTTACTATAATTAGAATTCTAATCGCAGGTGGAAAATGAATTTGCAACCAATATAATAGAACATTAGGCATTTATTTCGACACATTTAACATCTAGGTACTTTTTAACCATTATACGAGTCAAGTAAAAAAAAGTTTCAGAAATCGGAAAAATCAAGAATATTAATTATTGTAATGTGAAAATCAGTCTTTGTTTAACCCAAAATACTTCATCCGATAGTACATATAACTCCCCTATGAAATCAAAATGAATTGTAAATTCTAACAATTGTATTATTTCATAAAGGTCAAGAATGGGCGGTCTTCAAATTGGGCTTCCCGGGGCACATTAAGCAAATTTGTGTGGACACCAACCACTTCAAAGGCAATTATCCTGACTCCGTGAAGATTGAGGGGGCGTACTTAGGCCGGGGTGACTGGTACCCAGAGATTGATGCCAACTGGCATAATATTTTGAAGCCTAGTAAGGTAAGAACCACTCTTATAATAAATTTTACTACAGTCTTATATTTCTATTAGTTCTTTTTTTTTCTTAATCATATCATTGAGTCTACAGTGAGTAACAGTATTAGCATATAATTCTATATTTTAAACAAATCAAATCTCATATTTCGTCTTAGCCAATGGCTTAGACAGAATAGTTTTTGATCTTTAGAGATTGTTATACTCGTAATGAGATAATGACTCTAAAGGCCGATATTTCAGTCTTATATTTCTCTTAGTTCTATTTTTTTCCTAATCATATCAACAAGTTTACAATGAGTCTTAACAGTATTGGTATTTAATTCTATATTTTAAACAAATTGAATCTCATAATTCAATATGAGTATTGCAAATGGCTTAGACAGAACGGTTTATGGTATTTAGGGATTGTAAAACTCGTAATGGCATATGCCGTCTGTCATTTAGCAAAGAATTTGTCGAGATAGAACAATACTTAAGCACGACTTAAAATTGAGAAGCGTTTCAGTATTCCGACAATAATGACTTTAAAGGACGATTTTAAATTTATCAGAAGAATAACTTTAAATAATTGACAGTTCCTCCATACTAATAAATGTCTAATGTCAATTATATTCTACAGTTAGATATGAATTAACTGATGATTGTAAAATCGGCCTTTAGACACATCTTACTTCTTTGGTTTCTTCCTTTGTATTCTTTAATCTCCACGCTCCCCTTTTCTATTAAATTCTTATCACCAATCTTAACAGCTAAATTTACAAAAACATTCCCAATGAAAATAAACCGAAGCTAAGTTAACAAAATCTAATTTATACGTACATTTTCAATTACAGCTATCGGCCCATAACGAGCATTGGTTTGACTGTGAATCGGATGTCATCACACACATTAAAGTAACGATGGCACCAGATGGCGGGTTCAGCAGAATTAGAACGTTTGGTTATATCAGTGAACAAATTATTTGAGAGTTTAGGTACATACATGGTTGGAGTATATAGTAATATGTAATCAGGCCTTTCATTAAAAAGGCAGAGATGTTTTCAACGATCACTTTTCACCAGTTATTTCTTTAGAACCGTTATCTCATAACTTGGAGCCCTTTGCAACTATTGGAAAGAATTTCGAAAATCGAAATCCCGATCTAGGAATAGAAGTTAAAACCTTCTTGGTAGAATTAAGACCATTTGTATATTATGTATCTATAGTTAGCTTAGAAATGAATTTGTAGCTAGTATTCCCGACTATGCAATGTACAATGTCGCGGAAACCCAAGTAGTAGTTCCAAGGGCTATTGTACAGATGAGAACAGTCGTACTTGCTTCGTACGACATAGACTTAGACGCGTCGCTACGTAACATTAGAGCTAAAATTCAGAGAAGCAAAACTGTGTATTGTTATAAGATTCATGTTAGAAGATTTACATAATATTTTATGCTGTGAAACAAAATGTAAATATGATTTTGTATCATAATTGTGTTCAGAAATTAATAATGATTTTCGGCTTATTTAGAGCCCTGTCATGGCTTGAAATCAGTCTACTACTAATCACTCTAGCTACTTTGCTAAACAGTTAAGTGAGTAAATTGAGAAATATAATTATTTATGTTGCTTAAAATGTTTCTAACTTTTGTTTGGGCTAGCCAAAAATGACTTTTGTAAATATTAATAATTATAGTGTTATGTATGTATTACCGTCCTGTATTATGTAGATTCTAAGTATTAGTAAGTTGAGTAGAATTTATTTAAATGTCTTGTAATATAGATCTGTTCTTGGAATTGAAAATGATTTAGAGGAATCTGTTTTTAGATGTTGTTGTTAGAACATTGTTTTAGATGTAGAATTATTTGAAAATTATTCTAACAAATGTGGTTCCTAAACGTAAAATAATATGAATATTTAATGTATTTGTATTAAGTACTAAGTAACTACAATAGAATGTAAGTAACAGAAATAACTTAGTCCATGATTACTTTGAAAGTGTAATATAATATGTGTGTTTTAGTTTATTTCCTAGAGTATTTAGAATACTTGAACAAACTTTACAAACTTCTGAATATTTTATCAAAATATCGGAAATAATATTATCTTTCAAGTACTCATTTACTAATGTTTTCAAGTATTATTAATAAAATATTTATGATGATTACTGAATTTACTGTTTTCTTTCATTGCCAGCCTAGATTAATATAAAATCTATTGAAATATATATCTATGTTTCATAACATAACATCATGCCTTTTATCCCCGACGGGGTAAGCAGAGGTGCACATTATGCCATTGTACTATGTAACACCCACTTTTCAGTATTTATGTTATGAGTCCCGTGTTATAGAGGGTGAGCCTATTGCCATATACCGGGCACAATTCCAGACTCCATGCTACTACTGAGATTTTTTTTTAAACCCAGTAATATTTTCTCTATCTATGTTTCATTTCGATACAAAATCGACCCATACAATAAACTTTTGCAATCAATTACATAGCAAATAAAAAATTAACATTGCTAACAAATACTCTACGATTTGCCATAATAGAGTAGATGAGTAATTTTTATTTTAACGTCCGTAACATTAGACACGTATTTCTTACAGAAACATATACTATTAATGATATATTCATTTGAAACATCGCGTGACGTCACTTCTATATACATTTATGTCTAGAAATAGCGTTTTAGCTCGCACTCCTAAACTTCGATTCGTTATATCTAATCAGTATTTTATTATACGACAAAATAATAAAATACGAGTCTAATATTTTTTCATTGTCTAACTGACGGACTAAATATACCTATTTTTGTTTTTCATAACCCGTCATCATATATATAATTGTCATCAGAGAGACCACACTTTTACAAATAACCATATCTGGTGCTGACTTGGTATTCGCAAGTAACAAACACACGCTGTGTTTGGTGCTGACCAACCAACAACAAAGCATTCATAAAATTCCCACCTCATTCACAAAAAAAAACAACATCAAACACCCCTTCAAAACGAACCCAGTAAACAACACTAAAATAAAACTACATACAATAAAAACAAAAAAAGCACGGTCAAAGTACATATAAAAAACGAACATCAAAATGTCAATATTCAACGGCGTACAATTTCATTGAGATCGAATGCATGTAAACTGATCCCTTACTTTATTCCGACTATAAAAACGGCGATATATTTGAGAGGCATTTAAAATAACAAAATCTCCGCGACAATCCCTCGTGGGCTTTTAGCAGAGTTCTGCAATCTCCTGAACAATATCCGGCTTGAAACTTTGTGGCACACGTGGATCTGTAAGTCGGGGAAACTTGGGGAAGGTTCTCTCGTGAAGACGGTGGCTATGTCTTCGGTCACACCCTGAGGCTACGACTGAAGTTTCGTTTCCAGGGATTTTGTGAAAACTTAATAACGAGTGTTTCTGGATTTTCTGCTTTTTGGTTTCTCTTAAGGAGGTTGAAATTGATTAATTGAGCGCTTTGATTATATATGAGGCTTAGCTTGTTTTTTATGGTACTCGTAATAGAGCCTGCAATTACGTGATCTTCAATACGCAGAATTGGGATGATGACATGGTATGAAAATTAAAAATATATATAGTCTGTAAGTTAGATAATGAAAAATATTAGACACGTATTTTTTATTTTGTCGTATAAGAAAACAATATTTAGATAAAACTAATCAAATTTTAGGAGTGGGGGCTATAACGTCATTTTTACGTATAAAAAAATGTACATAAAAGTGACGTCACGCGACATTTCAAATCTTTTTAATCTGGTCCATCCAATGGAGAACAAAATATTTACTGACCCTATTAAAAAACGGAGCGGCAGAGGACTTACAGGTTGCCGGGGCTCCGTCTCTAAGCAGCAGTAGAAACGGGGTGGTTTTTAATCAGTAAGAGGTTGACACTCTCCCTCGCCTCACCCGGGCGAGAGAAATCATTGGATGATTTCGCCCTATCAAAAAAAAAAAACAATTCAAGAAAGGTGCAATTTAATTCTATTGATGAAACAATACATTTAAATATCACTACATGTTTTTACTGGTACTACAACACTCCTCCAGACTACTTACTAACGTAGATAAAAAACACTACTTATTCATAAAACGATAGGTGCTGCATACATATCGGTGACCTTCAAATAACATACAAAGGTTAATTGCTTTATTCCCCATGCATTAGGGAAATGAGTTTGCTATAGTCTCCGGGGTACATTACGTACGAAGAATCTTACTCATTTTGCCAAAGTAACATCACTTTATGAAAAGCCTCTTGTCCAGAACACCTCGTTTATTGATTCTGTTGTGCAATAAGGTTCAAATTGCTTTTTGGTTTTGTCAATACAAAATCTTGGTTTAATCATTTTGAGAAAATGAACAATCTTTATCTGGCGTTCATTTAGTGAATCTTAGTTCTCGTTTCAATATTTTAATTTTTCACGAATAATATTTACTTACATGAATTCATATTATAATGACTGCCTCGTTGTCTGAGTGGTCGCAAGTGCGACTGCCAGGCAAGTGGTCTCGGATTCGATTTCCATGTCGGGCAAAGTATTAATGATTTTTTTTTAAATCACAGTAGTAGCACGGAGTTAGAAATTGTTCCCGGTATATGGCAATAGGCTCACCCCCTATTACGTAACATAAATAGTGAAAAATGGTCGTTACAGTGTACGGTGGCTTCACGTGCCGAAATATGCGCCTCTGCCTAACCCTTCGGGAATAAAGGCGTGATGTTATGTCCATATATTTATTTATTTATTTATTTAAATAGGTTAGCCAACAATTATTACACTTTTTCATTACTGTTAATAATAGATATAACACATGTGCGAGTATAATAATTACTTATAGGCTAACACAGCATGCACAATAGTATTAGTTAACAATACACTATTTTTAAATTATGATAAAATAAAATAATATTTATTGAAAAATAATAGTGTAAAAACAAACTGACAGAAAAAAATTTGTTACAATATTAGGAATTCTAAAAAATCAAAAAAAAAATTTTTTTTTTTTTTAAATAAAAAAAAAAGTAGGAACATAAAATCTCTCTAAATTGACTAAATACGATAATGACGAAACGCAAAATGCTGAGAAGTACTCATCCATTACAACGCATATTAGTAAAAATAGCTTTACGGAACTGACCAACACTGTCACTGTGCAAATCAGTCACATCACTATAGCTGTTAATTGCTTTGCACAGTCTAGGTATTACGTGGTTTGCACCCAACACTGTTCTTCTCAGTGGTGGGCACAGTGGCGTTATGGGCTGACGTGGGTATCTCGAGGGAGCGCGAAACCGTAGGAGACTGAGCAAATCGGGACAATCTATTTGATTCCTAATTAGCTTAAACAAAAACAGCGCATCATATGCCTCTCTACGAGATGATAGTGAATGCATCCTGAAGTATTGAAGCCGGCCAATGTAGGAATTGAGTTGCTTAGCTTTACCTGTTGAGTAGGCGAGGTACCACAAGAACCTTTTCTGTACCCTCTCAATGCGCAGTATGTGGTCCGCGTAGTGGGGTCTCCACACAACACTACAGTAGTCCAGAGTGCTTCGTACAAGACTGTTATATAATAGGATCTTTGTGCCACTTTTAAATTCTCTGGAGTTCCTTATGACAAAACCCAACATTCTACCAGCTCTTTTAATTACGTTCTCTATATGGGGCAGGAGAGTTAGTTTGCTGTCGAAAGTGACTCCAAGGTCCTTAATGGTTGTTACTTCTTGGATCTTGTTATTTTTTATGAAGTAATCTGAACTGATACAGTTAGCTTTCCTGGTGAATTTTATATGGTAACATTTTTCAGTGTTAAGCAGCATTTTATTATTGTTGCACCATTCTACGACCCGGTTCATGTCTTCTTGCAATAGTTCGCTATCTTTTGGGGACTCTACTCTTCTAGCGAACTTCAGATCATCGGCATATAAAAAGCACTCAGAAAAGTGAAAACATTCCGGCAAATCGTTTATAAAAATGTTAAATAAGATAGGAGCGAGGTGAGAACCTTGGGGGGCACCCGAATTAATACCTCGATTAGATGAACGAAAACCATTAATTACAACAAAAAATTCTCTTTCTGTTAGGTATGATTTCAACCATTCTAAAAAGGGACCCGTGACACCATATGCTCCTAGCTTATATAGTAGGATTTTATGTGAAATCTTGTCAAAGGCTTTACTAAAGTCCGTGTAAATGACGTCATACTGCGCACTTACATCCAATGCTTGCACTATTGACTCCGTGAAAGATGCCAAATTCGTCGAGGTAGATCTACGTGCCACAAAGCCATGTTGTCGGTTGCTAAGATATAACCCTATGTGTTGTTGTATATAAGGGCAAATTAGAGACTCAAAGATTTTGGCAAAAGAGGAAAGAATGGAAATTGGCCTGTAATTAGCAATCATTTCAATATTTTTTGATTTATGTATTGGCACTATTTTTGCCTTCTTCCATTCGTGCGGGAATTGGCCTGACGCTAATGACTTATTATAAATATAGTGCAGTGGAGTTGTAAGAGCTGAGGCACAAGCAGATATGAAAATGGGGGGAATGCCGTCTGGACCTGCTCCCTTGTTTATGTTCAAATATTTCAGTCTTTTATACAAACTATCGTGATCAATAGTAGGAATTGTTAAACATTGGCCATTAATTTGTAATGAATTCAGTAGGGAGGAGTCTAAATTGATGTTCATATTTTCATCATCAGTGGCGTACACTGATGAGAAATGATCAGCAAAGAGATCACAGATGGTTGAGGGATCGGATGTTGTTACGTGCCCATTAGACATAGTTAACGGATAAGCGCTGGAGCCACCGCGTCTATCTTTTATATATTTCCAGAAAATTTTTGGGTTTGTTTTTATTTCATCCTCTAGAGTTTTTGTGTAATTTGAGTACAGAGTTTTGGCTAATTTCTGGCATCGCTGGGTAATGAGTTTTAACTCTAATTCGTCCAATGGATTTATAGAGATATACAATGATCATTTTCAAGAAATAAATATAAAAATTAAGAATTTGTTGTTTTTAATAATAAGATTTTAGTAGTCACTATCGTTATTAGGCGTCGATTATCTGATGCTGGAATAGACGGCCGATATTTATGCACATTTCGTTTGTATTGTACAGAGCCTCC